TCCATTCCCCTCCCTACCCTCTCGCAGGTGGGTCAGCCCTGCTTCTCCAATGCCAGCTTCCTCCCCCCATTGGACGAGTGCTTCTCTTGAACTGTTGGATTTAGTGTTAATCGCGTTATTCACACTTTCTGGGCCCTCAGGGGAGTGACTGGCTTAGTGACGGCTTAGTGACGGCTTAGTGACGGCTTAGTGACTGCTTTCTCTGCCTGCTAGGGTGACTTGCTTTGGGGACGATGCAGGGGGCAGAGGGAGAAGAGGGGATGCTGGAGATTCGTGGCAGGTGCTTTGACTTAGGATAGGCTGATGGGGGATGGGGTCCTGAGGCCCAGAGAAGGAAAGGGCCTGGCTCAAGGTCACAGGAGTCAGGCTGGTGGGGATGCGTAGTTGTGGTCTGGCTGAGGCTGTGACCACAGGGCCTGAGGCCCTGCAGACCTGGGATTCCTTGGAGAGATGCTGAGCAGGCACAGCTGGGCTGCAACCCTGGGGGCAAAGGCATTCCCCGCCCCCTCCCTGCTCAGAAGCACCAGGCCTGCCCCAGGCAATTGGTCCTACTTGAGAGAGTTCACCTGGGCTTGGGGAGGGGCGCTGTGAGGTAGAGCAGAGCAGAGCCGGGACAGAGGATTTGCTCTCTCAGATGATAACGCTGCCTGTGCTTCCATTGCTCATGCCCCCAACCTAGTCAGTCTTTGGGGGACACCGATGATGACACCTGAGTGTGAGTATGGGTGGCCTTGGGGTTGCATGTGGGACCCCTGAGTGTGTGAGCTCTGAGTGTGAGGGGCACCGTGTGTGTGCGATGAAGCCATCTGAGCCAATGCATACAGACCACAGGTGGTGTGAGCTGCGTGATGCTGCATACGGGTGTGTGCCCGAGGGTCTCTCTAGGAAGTTGGTATGAGAGACCCCTGTATATACGTGGGTGGGCTTGGCTGGTGCAAGCCAGTGGGTGTTCTGACGGGAGGCTCTGGCCGGCCGTGCTTGGTATCAACCCTCGTTCCTCCCTCCCTCGGGTGATTCTGCTGCTCACGTGTGGCAGGTGCTGTGGGTGCCCTGTCTGGAGGCCGTGCTTACTCGTCCGGCGGCATCTTGTGCTGACCATGGCGGTGGCCTCATCAGCAAGCAGCTGCAGCTTCCCTGTCTGAAGACTTTCTTTGGCCAGAGGTGCCTGCTCAGCGCACAAGGGGCAGGGATTAACGTTCACTGAAGAGCAGCCTCAGACAATGACCCTTGAGAGTCTGAGAGCCTGTGTGTGTGGAGTAATCCATTTCCCTCCCTGTCAGCTGACTAAGGCAAGCTCCTTGGAGTTGCCAAGGGGATGGAGCTCAGTTGCCCACAGTGGTGACCAGCATGACGACACCCTGCATGGGCTTCCTTCCGTTCCTCATTTCACTGCCCACTCTGTGGTGGTACTCCCGGGGTCACCTTCCTCATCAGCCCCTTGCGTCCATATCCTGTCCCAGGGCCTGGTCCTGCCCCTCCTCCCGTTCCCACCATCCTGGGAATTTGACTTCACTTCCCATCTCCTTGGGGCCCAGGGTGCTCTCCTTGGCCTGACCCCTCAGGCCCCTGGCAGAGGGAGGCAGCCAGTCTCCTTGTAGGAGTGTGCACAAGGACCTTGGATGTGGCACCATATGTGGACACAAGGCATGTTGTGGATGGAGGAGGTTGAAAACACCGAGCTCGACAGTGCCCTGGGCCAGGGTGATCCTGAGTGTATTTGCTGTTGGAACTGGCTGTCGGCGTGGCGTGGTTCCGATTGGGGTCACCACGGGCACCACATGGCCTGGGCACCGTCACCATGAAGGCTGCCACATTCATTCCCAGGAGCAGGGGTCTCAGAGCACAGAGGTGGCACCTGAGCCGTACACAGTGGTGTCTAGAAGGACAGGGGGGTGATTATTTTGCACACAGCAAGGGGCACTTAGGTGTCTGGCTGTGGCCAGAGAGATGTGGAGGCAGGAGTGATTCCTGAAAATGGGGTACTTGAATGATTTAAACCTCATGGAACATCCCAAGGGTGAAGGACAAGCCCAGAACCAAAACAAGTTCTGTCTACAATAATGAGTGTCCGCAGGCAGTGGGTTAGAAAGTGGGAGAAGGGAGTTTCAGGGGCCGACTCATTTGCTTTGAACAGTGACGGGAGGCAGCCAGCAGGTGGCAGTGTGGGCTTGCAGTGGGGCTGGTGGGACAGGGCTGTACCTTCCTTCAGGATCGCACCCCACTTTTAGGGCACTTGGGGGTTTAGGACTATGCTAGTGGACTCTGCCTGAGTTCGAGTGGGAGGGAATAATGACAGAAGAAGGGAACCGGCCTCTGTCGGTCAAGGGATCAACGACCAAAGCCAAGGTCTTATGGAAAGCAGAGACAGGAAGAGAATTTCTGCAGAGGGGGAGAAAACAACTCATTTCAGTCTAATTACCCGCCCACCCCTTCCTGGTAGTCAAAGCCATCAGGGTGTGGAGAGCCAACTGCTGTCAAAGTGCAGTCCCTGGTGTTCCTGGAGTCTTGAAGTCTTTGGCCTGAAGTTTATGGCCTGTCTTGGTGGCAGTTACACTGGCCAAGTCTTGGAGAAATGATGCCATGTTTTAGAGAGGTTAAACAAAAATTAACTCGTGTAAATCACTAGCTTCGCAAATATCCATGTCACTAGAAGAATGAAAAGTCTTCAATGGCTGCTAATTTTGAGATAAGTAACATATTTTCCCTTTGCTGCTATTTACCATTTCCCTTCCTTACAAGTTTCAGATGGTGCCAGCCCCACCATGGGCTCCTTGATCATATTACTTCTTGCAACGTTTGTTACTGATATATTTATTTTGAACACAGAAAAGATACATTGTTGCTTATTTAGCGCTTAATCCAGGAACAAGAAAAGCTGTTCAGCTCCATCCCTCAAACACTGATGAGCATGTGGGGATTTTTATCTTTTCCGTGCCCACCCCCCTCCCCCCCAGCACTCTCTAGGGTTGCAGAAGCAGGATGCGTTTCTTAAAAGAGTCTCATCCCTGGAGTGCATTTTAAAGGCTATACAGTACGATAGACAGATATTTTTTGCCTAGAAAACACTACACCACAAAGGTGGACAGAACTGCTTGTAAACAAGGTCCCTCCCCCGGGCGGAGTCAGGGGCTCCAGGATGCTACAGAACCTCTGGGTGGATTCCTTTCAGTTCTGCACCAGAAGAAATTCTATTTCTACAGAAAATAAAATTCACGATTGCCTTCCTTGCCGCCTCTCTTCAGAAAGGGATTACTAAATTGTCTTAGCCCTTTGTTGGAGGAATTGAAATGCGGGGGAGAGGATGGTTGGAGGTGCTCTTGTTTAAGGAGGGGGTGAGGAGGGAGGCAGGGTGGATTTGAGAGCTCTCTGCCGCTGGTGACGCCGGCAGGGGCGCTCTTC